CAGTTACCGAATTTTCCGCCGACCTGATGCAACGTGGTAGTGGTGGTAGATGACGGTAGTAAGGGAGCTGCCCTGAGGACTTCCTCAGCAACACCTTAATGTTCTGACTTGGTCAAGTGCCTTCTACAATCCGCTGGAAACGCAGCTGAGTCGCATTCTGCATACGCGTTCGGGGGTTAAGGGATTTTGGTTGAGGGGGATTGTGCTGAGGTCTTTGAGGAATTGACGTTGAGGTATTGGGGCTTAAGGGTTTAGGGTTTAGGGACTAGTGAACCTCATCCGGCCCTTGTTCAGCCGTTAACCAGCTCAATTCTTGAATGAAGCGCAGCCGGAAGCATCCAGATCTCTCTCCGCCTTGGGTCGCCTCTCTGTGCCCTGCTGTTGAAATTGCTCTTTGGGGCATGGTGTGTTCCGTGACAACTTCGAGCCACAGGGGCGGAGTCCGCACAGTTTTCTGATTTGTTGAAGCTCCGTTCATGGAGTCAGGGAACAACCCTTTTGCCTTGCTTCTGGCCGACCACAGGGTTAGTTGGCTGTTTCGGCAAGCTTGCCATTGCAGTTTCTTCTTTGTGCGGTAGCATGCGCTGATTTGTGTGTCACCGCCAAGATATCTGCAGAGGTGCTTGCGATTGTTATGAGCTTTTCATCGCTTGTAGTGATCCAAATTTGCCCTGTGCTGCCGAACAACCCCGGACCGCTGTTGTACTACGGTTTGGTCGTGGCACAGCGGTGAGATACTTCATGCTTTGCCAGGAGTGGTCCGTCTAGGATTTCTTGCTGCTCGGCGAATCTGCCGTGTCAGTCCTTTGCCAAGACACGCCCCCCCATAACATGTGGGGGGCGCCCGGGGCGCGAAAGTGGATGTCGCTCCTCCACCTCGAATTTTGGCAAAAAAATGAGGAAATAGCCCAATAGCTCGGCTGACAGACAAAGGTGGGCAAGTGACGACAAGACTCACCTTAGTTGTCGTCGCAGTCCCCATTGTCGTCGTCGCAAGACAAGACAGACGGAACTCTTTTTGAGCGAGAGACGACAGAGCGAACGTACGCCTGCACCTGCATGGTGTCTGGTCTTCGTTGGCCAGGGCAGACGCTCATAGATTCCTGGCTTCCTGCATGCTACGAGCAACGCAAACTCACGTTCTCCTCAGTGCAATTTCAGCAGTGGGCACACGCACGCACACACGCACACTCACGCACCGACATTCCCTGCGTTCAGTGTATGGGCGTAGACAAGTGGCGCATGCAAGGTACGGTTTCCTGGCACCTGTGGCCGTTCCGTCAAGAAGCTCGACTCAGTCCAGCCATTCCTTCGTTTTGGAAGTTGGTTACGATGAAGAGGCAATGGCTGCAAGCTGGGAACTCCTCCGCACAACTGGATGTGCCTTCCATTGTCAAGCAGAATCTTCGGAGTTGCCATTTGAGTACTCTCAGTCGCTTGCTGACGCAAGTGCATTGCAGCACCTTCGCGAAATCTGCCGTGAAGCTTGTCTGCTCCGACATGGCTGTGTGTCTTGGACTTCAACTTGTCGGTGCGTAGTGGAGCAGCTGCGCAGAGTTTGCCTCTCAACTCTGAGGCTGAGATCGAGATAACATTTACAAGCTCCGATGCTTCGTGTTCCCTCTGCTCCTACTTGTCGTGTGGCTTGATGAAATGGAACACAACTGAGCAATCCTGCAGCACATGTGATTGCCGCTTGAGGTCAACATGTGGAGCGGTTCGATGCCGAGCTCCATATGCTTGTGTCCTTGACTCGGCCTGCCGCCTCCGTGCGGCCGGCTCCGCTTGTGCGTGCGCTTTTGGATGGCGAGGCCACATAGGGCACCCGAGTAAAGCGACACTGCAGAGTTCGACACGCCTGCGAGGTGTCCTTTCGCACGCAGCGTGTGGCAGCAGTGAGCGTGGTGCGATTTCGAATCCGACTGGTCACAACTGTGCCAGCTCCACGAGGGGCATTGCTCATTCAAGGCCCAGAGGCCGACACACTGAGCCAATGTGCGAAGACATGCCATTGTTATCACATCTGCTGCACTAGGAAACTGCGCTTCACACGGACTTTGCTCAGGGGTTCTTCTTCTCGGAGCAGTGCCAGCCGGTCGATGTCCCTCCTGAGACCGTTGACCGGTTTGCTCTTCGAAGCATGGGATGCTCGGCTCGATGCGCTTGTGGTTTCAGAGACATTGCCCCACAACCCTAAACCCTAAACCCGAAACCCGAAACCCGAAACCCGAAACCCTAAACCCTAAACCCGGAACCCTAAATCGGTGCGTCGTTGCGAGGCGATGGAGGAATTGGCTGTACGTTCTTCCGCCTCGCCGGTGTCCCTCGCATTCAGCTGCAGCCTGGCAGCTCCAGCCTTCTGTCCGGCCTCTACGTCTTCGAGCTTCCGGTGCAGAACCCGGCTCCGTAACCGCACGGAGTCAAATCCTCAACCCCAAGCCCTTCGAAAGAGCGTAACCCAGGTGTCGCTGAGCGCCGAAACAGAACCCCGTCTGCAGAAGTTTGCTGCGATGCTGTCGTGGAAAGCAGTGTCCTTGCGAGACTGAGGAGTTGAACGAGCAGTGCCATGCCCTCGCTCGAGTTTCAAGTTTCAAGAATTGTGAGGAGATTGTGCATCAAGTCCCTCCCCGGCTGTGGACTCAGGCGGATCTCTGCAGTGCTGGTCCTTCACGACTGTGGAGGCGATGCTACCAAGAAGCAACAGAATAGCCAGCCACAAATCTGTGTATCGAATTCCGTTGTTTTCAGACTTTCTGGGGCAGGATGCTTCTGCCAGCATCCTCCACGAGCTAGACCAACGTCTCGTCGTCGCTTCTCCTCCTCTTTTGGAGATTCCTGCCTGGATCGAGAGCGGACAGCGAGCAGGATCTTATGTTCCGCAAAACGAAGTGCTGTTTGCCTTTCAGATCAGCCCAGGAAGATGGCGCTTGCCGGATTGCAGGAGGTATCGGTCGTGCAGATCCTATCTGGCATACAGAGCTTCGCAGTGCTTTGCTGATCACTTCCTCCTCCCCGGTAGCGCGGGATGACGGCCAAATTGATGCGGAGCATGGGACAGAGTGTGCGAGACAGCTTCTTCCAAACTTGAGATCTCCCGCTCCTGTATGATTGGGAAGGATAATATGACGAGAGTCTAGAGATTATAATAAGAGGGCTTCGTATTGCGTAGCGTCGCATGGGCCATGTCTTCGCAGCTGAGGAGAGTCGCAAGTGATCGAAATGATCAGCCTGAAGCTGCTGCTTGACCGAAGTCCACAGAGGAAAATATGGGACGTTTTGGGGGTTCCTTATTATAATTATAGTGGAATGGACCCCAGCACCCTATTATTGAGGGTTCAGTGCTTGCACTCTGTTGTGCTTCCTGACATGAATTTGTCTTCTAATGTCAGGTGAACAACCTGATCTTCTTCTTCGCACTCTCAGTACAACTTGTCCAGAGCACAGCAAACCTCCAATTGACAGCTCCAGACGGCTTCGTCTTCTCTGATGACTGTTCAGAAGGCGGGGTTGTTGCAGCGAGCGGGCCCTGCGCTTACACACCATGACGCCCCATGCCAGGTTTCGTTGTGTCCGAAGATGTTTTCGGAAGTGGGCAAGCATTTCCCAATGGCTTTCATGCACTGCCTGCCGGGTCGACCGTGCAGTGCATCGGCAGGGGAGAGGTTGCAGAAGCGACCCTCGCGCCAGCCCTGCTCGCCGCCAACACCAAGTACGCCTTCCGAATTCGAGTGACGAATCCACCGGTGCCGCCAACCCTGAACCCTACCTGGAGTTTGACCCTGGCAAATGAAGCAAGTGAGCTTTTCGACTCCTTCCCACTCTGGCAGATCCAGGGACGCTTTGTTCCAACAGCAGTGCCGGCTTCCAACGTCGATGCTCAGGCTCGTTGTGTGGCTGCGGGCTTTCGGGGAAGACTCTTCTCTTGGCTTCTAGGTGTTGCAGAGCTACATCTCTCGTACAGTGGACTGGCCCACGCAGACATGTTGGATGGCAGTAAAGATATGGGGTTCAGGAAGATCGGATTTTAGGAAGGCACCTGTTGAAAGCCCCACTATGACTGTGTAGAAGCCGCTGTGACACTGCATGACACTGTTCAGGCCTACCAGCATCTCGGGCTCGGAACCAGGGCCGTTTGCTTTTGCACTGAGCACTGCGAGCATCTGCGAGCATGGTGAGATGTCCTGTTGGTGTCGCCGATACGAGGGGCGCCTCGGGGCATTTCTTGATTGCATCCGAGGTCATGTTTGTTTGAACCAACGAGTTCTCTGCAAATGCCGCCAGTGCGGGTGCGATTCCAGCCACGAAGCGCTTTCCAAGAGTTGCAGGTAGAGGCTCCCCAAGGCCCAGCTGATGAAATCCTGAAGCATCACTGCACGTTGGAAGGGCTCTTGGCTACTAAGGATGAGTGCGACCGTTGCCCCTGCTCTCAAGCTTCAGATGGGTTTGGTTGAAGCCCTCCCCCAGGTCCTGACCCTTCTTAATTGGGGATCCAGTACAGGGTGGTTTGGGCTTGCGTGCCCCGCACATTGCCAGGGAGTCTTGGGCTTGCCCTCGCTCT